ATCAGTTTTAATGACTTCAACCTATGTATGCACATAAACCTCTGACTTCAGCTGTAAATGAAGGCAGCTGCGTCATGAATTGGGCTGCATTAAAACAGTACAGCTGACGACAGAGAGCAAGGAGACTGAATGGAGGGTGTGTCTGTAGCTGGCCAGTCACAGTTGACTTTAAACTACTTAAATAATGACTTAATCAGCTGCATGGTCTGTCCCAGCTCCTGACCAGATGTTGGCAGTGACATGCAGTTGACTTAGCCACCTGGAACCCTTAGTTTGGATGCAGATGGATGAAGTGACTGACCGACTGTTTCCTCTGTTGTCATCTCCAGACGGCCTGCAGGTGTCGGGAGGGCTTCCGACCATTAGGGAGGTTCTGTTATCCCAGCAACCCCTGCAGAAATGTATGTGGCTGTCATTTCGTGACTCTCTTCGGTTTCAAGTCACTGATATTTGTTTTGTAAAAAGACAAGGGGAACTGACATGAGGAAAACTGGAATTATTTCATCCTATTTGTGGATATTTTTTGTTTTGTGAAAATTATAAGGACTAGATAAATTGTTAAGACAGAGCTGGCTGCTAGCATAGGCAGATGAGTTTATTTTGTGGTGCATTACAGCAAGCTCTCTGTGTTTGCAGTCTGTTACAGTCTTGGTGTGTTCGGCAAATTGCCACCCATTTATTTATACTGTAAATATACCTGTGGAGAGGTTTTAGACATTAAAGTAAGGATGCTTTCATAAATAATGCCATTCAACAGTAAAACGACAGTAAACAGAAAAGATCTAAATCAATCAGTATTTGGTGTGGCCACTTTAAAACAGTGCCAGTTCTCCTAAGTGCACTTTATTTATAGATGGTTGACAGTAATAATGGAAACATGGTTTTTGTGCTGCCTGTTACGGCCCAAACTGCACAGATATGTTTGTGCACATCATATACGTGTGCACAGTAATGTAATAATAATAAATCCCCTTGCTCTTTGCAGCATTTTTCATAAAAGATTTTGAAAAATAATTTTTTAAGCTGTTGTTTCTTTGAAGAGAGAGGTGCTAGTCTTAAGCTGACACTATGCTAAGATGTTTTTTGTATTGTGCAGTCACAAACAATATCAGTGGTTTTATCAAGCATAGAAATGGTTACAGGGCTGTTGATACCTGTCCTTTATCAGCAGTTAAAGAATTATTTTGTTTGTGAGCAGAACAACGGTGGATGCAGTAGGCACGCTCGCTGTGAGTACATAGGCGATGGTCAGAGGAACTGCACCTGCTACAGAGACTATGTGGGCGATGGCATCGACTGCCGGGGAAACACCAACAATGTGAGTCATATGACCTCTGACCTCACACTAACTTCTGACCTCCCACTGCTATACCCCTCCCCCCACTCACAGAAGTTGTCTGTCTTACAGGAGATCTCACGACTTCCGGAGAATGCCTTCTTCCATCAAATGCTATCTGTGAGTTGCTGTCAGCCACATTGAAATCCACTCAGTAAATAAAACTTCTCTTTTAGGAATTATTTTGATGCTGCTAACTGAAACATGGATGGTTTGTTAAAACTTTATGTAGGCTGGTGTGACTATTTTGTTATCTCACTTCAATTCCAGCTGACTAGCAAGCGGTTTTGAGCATTATTATTGGGCGGGGTTGAACCAGCTCAGGGCTGATGTTAGGGT